TCAGAAACAGTCATTCTCTTGGTGACTCTTCTACAAATAGGCACATGCCAGCAGCAGGGATGAACAAGCAAGCAAGCTAACACACTAGGAGCATGGTGTCTCTTGCAGATGGAGGACTGGGCGTGATACATGAAAATGTTTGTACTACACTTAATTGCTCATGGGATCTGAATGAAAATCTCCATGCAAAGGGGAAATAATGGAAAAACAAGACAAACCTGTATTTCTTTTTTCATTCACATTGTGATGAATGTCAAATTTTTCAGTGACAGAAGCCATACTCCCTCCTACCCTTACCCAGGAAAAACATACTGGAAGAAAATCACAAAACTTGTGACTTTTTATTTCTGGATACCAAAACACCACTTAATGCTTTGGAGGAAAAAAACTGGATTCCATATTTTCTGCATTCACCTGGAATGCTATGTTTCAGAAGACAGGCACTAACATGCCAGGTGTGGGGGCGCATGCCAAGGCTGAGGAAGGAGGATTTCAAAGTTGAGGGCTACACTGTGAAACCCTGGTCCCAAAATAAAACAGCAAAAACCCCTAACAATAAGACAGGAGCAAACGAAGTGACTACGGTGCTACATTGTCCATTCAGGAAAGAAAACCTATTCTTGCCTGGCTATTAGCGTACAACGATTAGAGCACAGATTTTTTCGATCTACTTGTACAATGCTGAAAGCCCCGACCTAAATATTTACTTAATATCCTTATTAGAACTATTGGAATTCTTTCCTCAATGACTTTTAAGGCTGTTCTTAAATTGGAGGAAAAGGGACAATTGTGATGATGTTTTAAAAATTCTCTTAAAATTGGTTATATTTTAAGCAGGTGAAAACTCCCACTTCATTTGCAGTACCACCTGGTGCCCCGCTACTAGACAGAAGGTGGGGAGGACAATGGCGTGTAAGGAGTGGGGAGGGCAGGATTTGGGATTTTTTTGGCAGAAGAAGGGAACTTACCTTCCTTCGTGGTCCTCCCCGCCATTGCTTGCTCAAAAAATTCTGCAAAGGCTTGATTTGTTACTAACTACACTTTGGGGCTGACTATGACATCTGAGTGTGTTCCCCAAACTACAACACATGGTCACCATTTCTCAGCCAGGGGCTAACACCCTGATATTTGGAAATAAGAGGGCATTTTGGGATGTCATAACTAACTGCAAGGTGCTCTGTAGCACCTTGCAAGAACTGAGGAAGTCACCTCTACCAGGAAGAATTGTGCCAATGAAAATACCTGTACTTTGCTGAGAAATGCTAGAAGACATTTTTGAAGGCTCACACCCAAGGCTAAATATGACCCTGCAGATAGATCACTGTACCAGCTTGACAAGCACAGAGGATAAGGTCCAGTGAGCTTAAGAGTTACCCTGCTAGCTAGGAGAGGTGGAATCGGAATTGAGTCAAACCTCCTGACTCTGACCAAACATTCTCACGAACCCCTTTATGCAGGTCTGGGCAGCACCGTGCTACCAGACGCTCTACCTGGACTCCAGGAACTGTGTCCTATTCTCAGTGACATTAGGACACTCGGAACAGATGAACAAGTCTTCACAAAAAGCCCAGATTCCCTCAGACAGGAATTAGTGGGATTGGGGTGTGACTCACGGGGTAAGCGCTTGCCTGGCAAGTGTGGGGTCAAGTTCAAATCCCGGTACCACACCCACCCACCCACACGCGTGCACACACACAGAGACAGGAATAGCAACTGCATCCATTGAGCTTTGCTTGTGATAACTTTATGATGTCCATTTTAGCAAACATCAGCTGCCCACGTAACTTTAGTGTCTAGACTTGTCCCTTCCACCTGGACTTGGATTTTCTGCTCTAATATTCCTTAGTAAAATTCTCTTGCTAATAATGTAAATTCCTAACATAGTGTCCCCAGAGTATTTTGATATACTTTAGCCACAGAGGATACTACAGTCTCTTTTGAAACCTTAATTCCCAGGAAGGTGCAGCCCATCCAACATGTGTGCTGGAGCATTTGTGTGCACAGACCTCAGTGGTCTATCAAGGTTGCCTTAAGTACCAAGACAAATTTTTAAGGACCAAATATGCATTTGGGGGTTCCCTCTAGGTTCTTACATTTCTCCAGGCATCAGTATTGACCTCCCTCCAGTCTTTCTCAAATGAAGTGGGGAAAAAAACAACATAGGGGATTGGGTAACATTGAGGCTACACACCTGGCCAAGACCAGAGAAGGGAAGAGCCTAGGCTTCAGTAGAGATGAATTGTAAGAACTGTACTGCAGTGGCTGCTCCTGCTCTCCCACCCTAATGCCTGGTGGCTTTCTGTATGTTGGCCCTTCCCACTGAAGTGGTCCAACAACTGTCGTTATGGTACACACATGCAATCCCACTACCCAGGAAACTGAGGCAGGAAGGTCTTGTGTTCTAGACCAGCCTGGGCTATACAGCAAGACCCGGTCTCAAAAAACAAACCATAAATAAAACTTCATCTACATTAACATGCCTACATCAATTCATATAATTACATCACCCCAAAGGGTACCGTTAACCAGCCCCCAAACAGAATTGGTAATACAGATAGCACTGTATTATAAACTTTTCCTCAATACCTGCCTGTGGTAGGCTTGTATTTAGTAGTATCTTCTCAGCTGTGACTTGTCACTTTACAAACCAAGTGTTTCAACAAAGAAAAAATGCTCTCCCCACCACTTAGTCAAGAGCAATATTTACTTACTATATATTAATATATACACACGTGTTGTATTTTTGAAACTATATTCAATTTACTTGTTTTCTTAAAAACAGCAAAAAAAAAAAATGCATACTCCAAAAACCTGAATCAATCATCACTCTTAAAAAACCACCTCTGTTTTGCTTTCCTAAATCAATTCTTTAAGAAATAGACTAGTTCATACATTTGTCAAGGGCAGAAAACACAGCCACAAAAGTCAAAAACAGTGACTTCACAGTATTCCAACCAGAAGTCCCCATTGTCTGACGGTTTTCAAGTGCTTCCAATCAGTAACAAGGCCATCTATGAATGTCTCCTATAGTTCCTCCACTATCTGCCTCCAAAAAACCCCAAGTAAAATCCCTGTATTACTTACCAAAACACACCCAAACAAGCAAACACCACTTCTCAGAAGAACCCTCTAGCTTTACATAATTTAATAAAACTGACCATGAAGGATAATGCTGTTTATTAAAAATATAGTCAGGGGAAGGAAGTCAGTGCATTTATGCAATTTTACATACACATTTGTAATCTGAAGTTCCATTATTCCAACAGTTCATATAAACCACTGTTTTAGATAAAAGCGCTTTACAGAGGAGATCAGCAATCGGTTATACGTTTGGTAATATGATTAGGCTTGTAGTAAAAATAAAACCTTTTCCATTAAATAATGCCTTCTTAATACAAAACAAATCTCGAAGACTGAAGATTTTTTTCTTGCCTAAGAATTATTAACTTGAAGTTCTTGGAAAATAGCCAATTTTCTGGTTTTTGTCTGTATAAAATGCTATGTTTTGTCTGGATTTTGTTTTCTTTTTAAAGGTAATGAAGGAAGAATTTTCGGTGATCTGTCACTAGGTTGTACTTTACTGCATATGCCAACTTACGCAGTGTCAAGCAGAAGACTCACACAAACTATCTCGGAGAATTACATGTTTTGAAACAATGTTCTCATAACAAGAAAAACAAAATGGGTCAAAAAGAAAAAACAAAAACCTTGCGATAAATGAACTGAAAGGTGGTCATTTTGTTAATGGAGAATGACTAAACACCCAGAACTCCCTAGAGGTTCGGCTTATGAGTGTACTTTTACACCGCCCCGCCCCCCCAAAAGTAATTTCCTAACCACCTTTTTGTTTTTTTGAAATAGAGGTGACATTCCCATTTCCTGAGCTTATACCTACTGGTAGGAATTAAGAGTACAGGCTCAATAAAGATGGAGCAGAGTGAAAACCACAACTTGCTCATGACCACTCTTGCTGTGGAAGATGAAGAGGTGGACGCAATTCCCTGGTTGCAGGAGCGGATATTGTCCCTTGGCCTTCACACCCAAGACGCCCAAAGGAAGTCACTGGCAAATAGGTGTAAAAAGCCCCATGCCAGCCATACCACTCTTTTCCACCTACGTACTTAGCTCGAGAGAACAGCCAGACCCAGGAAGAGAGCTTCCAGCGAACCTCTTCACAGGCGGAACAAACTTCTGACTGTGAACACAGGGACTGAGAGCCAAAGCACAGGAAGAGGAATCGGCATTTCTCATGAGTGATTTCTGCTGGGGTGGGCCAAAACATCTAGGGCTCACCCGTGTCTGCTGCCAACTCTGCTTCCTGAAACTTAGCTCACTTTCTTCTGGCACAAGGGGGAGATTACACACAACCCCCTCTTCCTTCTCTAAGTGCAGTAGCCAATGCTTTTTGTGTTAAGCAGATCAAACAACACACATTTGGTGTTAGCTATGACTAACTCCTACCTGACTATAGCTCAGCAAGAATTAAAGAATAAAATCTCAGTCACTACCCAAGTGTCCGTGTTGAAAACACTTAGTATGTCTATGAAGCAAATAAATTTAAGGCATAAGTGGAATAAAAGCAAAATGAAGTATGCATGTCCTCCTACAATGCAGTATATTAAGGCCTCTGCCAAGAGTGTTTTAAAATGGGAAGTCTTCCTGCCCTAAACTAAGCAAAGGTCCCCCATATTGAAGGAGTAAGTTGAAGACTGAAAGTTTCTAAACAAGTAATTAATTACTCAAACACTCAAGACTTCAGAATCTGAGTTAGAACCGTCATGTGGACTCATGAGCTGCTGGAACCAACGAGGTCAAATCTGCCAGCACCAGAGCATGTGTGAAACGCAAACATATTCTAACATGAAGTATTACCTTGCTTATACAGATACCAACATTTTAGCACAACTCTTGAAAAAACGAGGAATGAAATTTCACATACAAGTCTTTGTGCTTGAGTTTGTAAAAAGGTATCAGAACAACTGAAAACAAAGTGGTTCAGTTATTAGTTTACTTGAGGGAGCTGTTGAGCTCCTCTGCCTGTCAGTGGCGGAACAGCAGAAACCCAGCTCCCTTGCTGGATTTCAACAGTGAAGCTGCTCATTCATCGGCCTCTGCAAGGACAGAGAGAATCTCATGTCCCCAGTTCCTCCAATAGCTCCTTCCCACTTACTGGGATAACTGTCCAAGTTAGCTGTCAGCAGGGAATGTTTCCATGTAAGGCCCTTGAGGTGTAAAATGACAATGCAACCTAAACAAAACAAGCCACTACAACTTCTTATGAATGATGGTATGCAGTGAAGGGCTTCTATGCCATTTAAGTAGACTTTGGAAGAGTCAGTAAAATTGATTTCTCAAAATTCAGTTAAAAAAATTGACTCACCTCTCATTTTCAAAGGGTGGGAAGGAAGAAGAAACGGAGGGAAGGAGGAAGGGGAAGGAATAAGGGGAAGAAGGAAGGGGAGAGGGAAGGGAGGGAGGAAGTAAGGAATCTCCCCCCATTTTCTTTCCACATTTTATGTTCTTCAAGTTGTTCTGACAAATTGTTTAAATACCAAAATCAACCATGACCCAAATCACGGAGATGTGATGACTGATTTCTACTGCAGTATAGCTATTCATCTGTACAGTTGAATGTTATGAGTACAGCACAGAACTATAAACAAAAAGGTGAAGCAAACTTTCTTTATTTTCAGGTAAAAACATTGACCTGATGGATTATTGCAGATTTGAGAAATCAGCACACAAAACAAATGGACAGCATTGCTTACAGGTGCTTTTATCTGTGTGGAGACACAGGTTTAACTGTCCCAAATCAGCACTGGGAGAAGGGCAAGACAAGAGTGAAATAAAAGAAAACTGAAAACAACTTAAAACAAAAAGAAAAAATTTTACTCCAACAGGGAATGAAAATTACTAATTTGTTTAAAACTTTACATCAATTTAAAATGCTCTGGCCATAGAATAAATACTGGCCAGCCCAAGCCACAGACTTTTTAAACCTACACAAAAGAAATTAACTTTCCTGCCTCATTCCAGAGGCTGTTGCTGCCAGAACCACCATGTAAACAGTCCTAGTGTGTGACCTGGCAAAAAGCCAGTAATACCCTATATTAAAACTAACCTATAAGAAAAGTCTACCTAGTTACAAAGGCTGACTTATATTGACACTATATTTCAATTCAATGAATTTTAAATTATATCTTAATTTGAGAAAACATAGGACAACAACAACAACAAAAAAAGCCCATGGCTAATGAAAACGTCACAACTGTGGGTGTTGTATACAAAAAACCTGCACAATTAATGAGTCTGGGAGAGAAAATGAGAGGGAAGTGAAAAGCACAGAGCCCAGCTAATAAACTATAGTTGTCAAATACATGTGAGCTTTCATTTCTGTACTTATGTACAAGAGTTGTCTTTGGAGGAAACAAAACTGCAGACTTAGCTAGATGGATACACACAGCCCAGAATTAAACTGCACAGCGACATTTATTGTTCAGCCTGGAAAAACATCCCTTTTTAAATTTCACACAGCAAAGCAAGTTAAAAACTTCACTCATCAAATAAATGATAATTTAAACAAGAACTTGCTAAAGAAACCTCATCACAACAACATTTTAGGGCCTGATCACTTTAAGTCCATGGGGCCATTAATGAATATCAACCAAGTGTCTCTTTTATAATCTGCAAGTCGTTTTTCCTACAACAAGAAGGCGTAACATGTTTCCTTGACTCAGGTGATACATTTAGAAAAGAAATCATGATTTTTTTTTTCTTTTGTTGTAACAGGCAGACACTGATTTCTTGCTGTGATCAGGAAAGATGGAACGACTGCTGCCCTTCTCTTGCTGCTATCAACAGTTTGTCACGCATTATTTCAATGCTTGAGTAGTCCGGCAACTTAAGATAGTTCACACACGTCATTACAGAGGGTAAGAAGTCATCTGGGTTTTCTGTTGATTCAAACGTCTTCCGGACAATTGTTAATGGTGGATTCAGACTCCGGAATCCTGACAAAGAGAACAAGAACAAAGTTCAAGGAACTTTTTCCTTTTTTAAAATGCTACTCAGGAAATAATACACTGTTTTGCTGTACAGTATTCACAAACACACACAATATTATTCCTTCTTGCTGACAACACATTCAGTATGTGTTCAATAAATGGAACCTGCTTATGTTTTGTTTTTTCCTTTAATGTAAATTGTATTTATTTAAACAAAATACAGAATAAACTGTCTATGTTTATTGCCTTTCCCTATTCTCATTTACCAAAGCGATTTGAATGTCCCTTTCCTTGCAGTCCTCGCCTGGCCATACAGAAGACAGCTTCTAAAGGAGGCAGAGCAGGATGATCAGAACCTGATGGAACCTACCATTTTAATATTTAAAAAAAAACAATTTTTGTATAAATCGGCAACAGTTCTTTGCCTAATTTTTTTAAATGTACTAATTCAACTTCATTTTTAGAATCCATTCTCACTTAAGTCAACAAAAAGTTTATAATACAATGTTCTGATACCCTAGCCTTTTGTCTAAGCAGCATTACATGTATATTAGAAACCTTACTTTGACATGTTTGAAACAATCTCTATGAATTTTCCTGCCAGTGGTCTCCAAATGTACTCCTAAACAAATTAAAAGCTTCGAAACATTAGCATAGTGGAGTAACTAACAGGCATTGTAAGTAAGTAAAGAATCCTCTATATCGGTACTGCAGTTTCACAAACATGCGTGACCGAGCTCAGAACAAACGCTAAGCTGCAGTACTGTACCCACCTCCAACAGGCAACCGTGGGCTACCAGTCACGAACTGGAGAAATAACCTCTGCTGCTCATTATCAAAACCACTGAGAATCTCAAACAAGAACTTCACTGCCCGGCTACAGAGAAAAAGAAAGACAGCGAAATTATTTTATTATGTAAAATACTGTCTTTAATCATTTCAAATCTCTGACTTGCAATCGACAATCACGTCAATTTTAAATACAGTTACATGTGAACTCCCATTACAGTGCTCCCTGGAATGTTTGTTTTGTTACAACTGAAGCCCAAATGGAATGACTTTAATAAATAAGTCCTGATCTAGGAGTGTACTAACTTCTGCTTTACTAGCTACATGCAGTAATGGGTAATTCCCCACTTCCCTCATAATTTCACAGAAATACTTGAAAAAGAAACCCTTAGGTCTTAAATTGTAGTTTTGAGAGAAATAAGGATAAAATATGGCTGAACGTTCTTGAACAGGCAGACAAGTTTTTAAACAGCCCTCATAAACTTCTGTTCTTTATACACATGCCCCTGTTTTTGCCTATGAATTGAAAGGCCAATAGAGCCAGTGTTCACCTGTCATGAGTGTAGCCATGGTCAGGTCTACAGCACTCCATCAACGTCTTAGCATCCCAAGTGTCTGCTTTACTGCCACACAGGAGCTGATCCAGCTTTGAGATGAGGTAAGAGCAAAGAATTACTAAAATGCCTGCATGCCCGAGTGACAATAAAGACACACGTACCAAGTGCCAAAGATTCTGCTAGGCCTCCTCATTCTCCTGCCATGCTTAGGAGTCCATTGCCTTTTCAGCTGCACATTATCAGGTACTCTGCCCACTTGCAGAGACTGGCTTTTACAAAAGTCTTTAACTTCAAACAAAACAGAAGGCTCTGAAGCAGACTCTGACTTCTGGTTTTTCCTAGTCCTTCGTGTTAACTTTGCACGCTTTCAATTGCTAATTTGCTTCCAACTAGGAAGATTTCATAAATCCTGGCCTTCAGAAACACAGGGTATACAATGACAGAACCAAAAGATAAACAATTGAGCCAAGAGAAAGATGACAAGAAAGCTGAACTTGGAAATGGCAAGTGGGTAGGGTTTTGTATTTTACAAGGTGGGGCACATCTATGCCACATGGTTGTTTGTATGGGGATAAACCCAGACATTACAGAATAAACATTAGAAAGCAAGAAATGCTGCAGGGAATGGTGGTACATGTCTGTAAATCCCAGCACTCAGGAGGCTGAGTCAAGAGGATTGCAAGTTTGAGGGCAGCCTGGGCTACCTACCAAGACCCTCTCACAAAACAAAACGGCAAGAAATGTTCATGTGTCCTAATAACAGTTTCAAATTGAGACTTTTCCCCTCTATTTAACAACTCATTTGAGGAAAACTGCATGCATTAAGAAAATCCAATTCAGAAAAAATGAAGTTTAGTATCTACTAACATGCCACTGACCTATACAATATAGTTGCTATCCCAATTTTGTATCAGAAATACACGCAGCTGAATGATAAAGTGGCCTCATGTGCTGCTTTCAGCACATGCTACATGCTTAAATGAACAGCAGATCAAAATGGACATAAAAATAATTGAGACTAAAATGCTAAGTCATTTAAAGATTTCCAGTGTCAGTCAGGAATCAATGTATATTATAAAACTAGTATTAAAAAAAAATAAAGATTTCTATAACAACATCTTTGGGCCTTTCCATGACATCTTGCTATGTCAAGGGGGGAGGGAGGGGATGGGAAGGGATAAGTTAAAATAGTAAAGCCAGGCACCAGTGGCTCACACCTATAATCCTAGCTACTCAAAGGCTAAAGTGAGGAGGATTTAGGTTCAGGCCAGCCCACAGCCCAGGCAAATAGTTCAAAAGACTATTTATGGACTATTTCACAAAAAGTTTGAAATACTTTGTAAAACTAACAGCTGGATGCAATGGGGCATGCCTGTCATCCCAGCTGTGTAGAGAAGCACAAACCGGATCACAGTCCAGAGCAGCCTAGGCATAAAGCAAGACCCTCATCTCCAAAATAACCAGAGCAAAAAGGGCTGGAGGTGTGCTCAAGTGGTAAAGCGCCTGCCTAGCAAGCAAGAAACCCTGAGTTCAAACTCTACTACCACACTACAAGGAAGTGTTTCGCCCAATTCAAAAAGTTTAGTTAAAAAAATAAATAAACCTCCTTGGTATCACTTTACTGCTGGGGATTTGTGGCTGTCCCTGCAGCCACAGCAGTACAGACACATGCAGAGGATAGTACATACTATAAGTCCCATTATTCACTGAGCAGCCTCGAGATCTTGGGTGATAAAAGATGCTGCTACGCTTTACTCTCCAAACACATCCTCCCCAACCAGAGACACCTTTTTAAAATTTTTTAAAGCAGTACTGAGGTTTGAACTCAGAGCCTTGTACTCATCACTTGAGGAATGCCCCCAGCCAGCCACCTATTTTAATATTATTTCTTGCTCAGAAAATTTCCTTGTCATTCCCAAAATTCCATCCCTTGTTACCAAATCCCCATGGTTTTGTGGTTTTTGGAACAAAAAGGGTCTTTAACAAGATAGTTCAAAACTGTTCCACTAAGATAATTACAAGTACAGAACTAGAAATGACCTTTTTTAAAAACAAAAGCACAGCTACTTACTTCCTCTGGGTAGAAGTACTGAAGATGACTGAGTGGGAAAACTGATTCAAATCCATCTCGAAAGGAATCAAATTGCCTAGAAACACCTTCATTTAGTGCCCAGAATATAACCAACTGCAGAAAGAAAAATATTTTTAAAAATAGACTTCAAATCTAATACATAGGAAAGTCCAGTGAAACATCATTCTGGATCACTTTAAACAAACAACTACTAATGCAGGTCCTGGCAACATGAAAATAATGTTTAAAAAAATTCCACATGCATTATGTTCAGTGTGTTTGCAATTTTCAATCACATAAAATCCTCCCAGCACAGAGTCCGGTAAGAAGGAAAGGAGATTTTCCCCAAAGGGTAAAGTATTACTGAGAATTAGTGGCAAGGTTTCAAGATACACAATTAGCAAGTGTTAAGGGTTTTTAATGGAGCATGCTGAGTTCTAAATCCTGTTCTGTTCTGAGAGCCTGAGCTTTCTGCTTGTGTGCCTCCTCTAAGAAACAGACAAAGCCTGGACATGAAAGCACAGTGAAACTTTCTTTTTCACAAAAGAGCAGCTCTTAATTGGTCCAACATTATCTTGTCATCCATAACCTTGGCTAATCAATTAGGTACAGAAACAGACCATATTCAAATAAAAATGAAAACAATCTTTTGTTGATAGGGAACAAAACTGCTTCAAATTATTTTTAGAAAAACAATGAATGTCAATGTTAACTCATTTACCAGTAAGGTGGAAAAGTAACTTTCACAAAATTAGCACAAGAAATGGATAGTATGGGAAGGCACTCCAATTAAACATTAAAAGAAATTGCCTCAAATCACAGAATTGCTGGGTAACACCAACAGGGTATCTAGGATATTACTGACTATGTTTTGATGTTAAAAACTTATGCAGTTTATAATTTAAAATGTAATTTTAATTCACTATTTTTAAAATTAGTTTTCCTTTCTCCTTGATTTAGCAAATATGGTCAAGAACCCTACAAGTAATAATTTGACAGGCCTACTAAACACTTAAGTGCATGTGGTGCATTTGTGTATGTGTCTATTTTGAAGGCAATTCTGTCACACCAGCTGATCTGAAAGAACGGCAGAAATGCAGCTCATAGTAAGAACACAAGTAAAGGCTCCTTTTCACTGATTTTTTTTTCCCTAAAAGTAAGAAAATGTGGTGTTATTATATTGCATTTAAGCTTGAGGATAGATAATTTAAGGTTATCCAAGAAATATCTGGGGGGAAAAAAGAAGAATCTGATACGTTCTATAAAAAGCAAATAGAAACTAAGCCCTGAAAAAGCAGCCTTCACAAGTGGTCCTAGGGATATAGAAGGACTCAAGGTCTGTACAGGCAGAAGCTAAGTGATCCCGCCTGTGTTTCAGAGGAGTGCAACAGGCAAAGATCTACATCCCCACAGCCAACCTGCCCCCCCCAAAATACGCAATTACATACTCTTAAGTACTCCTCTAAATTGTGGATCGTGACTGGTATGTCTTTCCCTCCTTTCTTCAGTTCGATGTTGGGAAACCCTGGCAGCGTGAAATCCAATCCTAGATCTTCAACTGAGCAGCCATTCATAGTAAGGGCTTCTAATGCATATTGTAGACTCTCTTTGGTCTTTAAAAAGAAGGAAGACATTAAGCATAAGAATTCACTCACAACTATTTTTATTTATAAAAATAAAAGATAATCCCAGAACAGTTAATGAGCTACTTTGGCTCTTGGCTTGTTTCTTACTGGTTTTTGGCTATAATCCACATATGAACAAGTCATCGGGATCACAAAGGAAATAATGTGAAGTGTCCCTGGATCCAACTATTTTTGTGTGAGAAAGCAAGATCACTGAAGTGTCTTGCATACTGAGAAGCTGCTGTTCTGAGCATACTCAAATCAAACTCCACAAAAAGTCTACAACTGTTAACTTGAAGATGTGGCCCCTAGAGCCAGACAAAGTTTTCATTAATTCTAGGCCAATCTTACTGAGCCTAAGATAGATTCAAACAGAGTAGTATAGTTTGGAAATTGTAAATATAGATAATGTACTATCTAGTAATTAACTTTTCCCAACAAAATTCATGTCTCCAGAATACCCTGGAGATGCTAGGCCTCTGAGGTATAACAAATTTGTATTCATACAGGAATGCTATAATGAAAGAGAAAAAAAAACTACCAAGAAAGTCCTAAGAAAAGTCAGGCCAAACTCTGAAGATAAATGTTAAAAGCGGTCTTTACTACTCACTTTTTAAAATGCCTAAAACTTATAAGCCTATATAAAATGCTGATTTGCTTTAGACTGAGACTCAAAGACCAACATACAAAAACGTAAATTTCTATCTATCTAAAAATGAAGGCATCCTGTAGAGAAGTAAAAAATGGCTTCCCAAATTGGGATGGCTGTGTGTATGAAATTTCTATAGCCAAGTAGTTAAGATGAAGAAAATTAGTCATTGAAATTAGAAAAGGCTATAAACTCTGATTAACAAATTAGTTCTTTTTAAAAAAAAAAAAAAAAAAAAAAGAGGTTAACTAAAAGCTGTTTAGATTTCCAGACAATTCAGAATACGAAGGAGGTGGCAAATGACTTAGGATCATGGCAAAAGGGAGTTGTTGAGGATTATATATGTATCTATTTCCCTGTTAAAAACAAAAACAAACAAACAAAAAAACCCCTCCATTTTTAAGCCCTCTCTCCATTTGAGGTACATCACTGAGGGTCTTCAAAGGGAGGCATTTCGTTTCACATTGAATATTCTTCAGCAGAAAGATTAAAAAAAAAAAACAAAAAAACAAAACTCTTCATCTTAATATTGACCCACTGGAAGCCCTCAGAAGTATTACTACACTTTCTGTCACAGACCAAGGTGATTACTACTATGCTAATCAAAGTCTCTTTATAGACAGGATCTATAATATGCAATATATCCTGGTCATGTTTAAAAGGAATTTACTTTTAGTTTCTCTGGACCTTATGTATTACATCAAAGGCTAAGCTTTAGCACATGTTCTATGTTGTTGTTGGTTTTTTTCTTTTTGAGACTCTAACTACCAGGCAGAATCTGAGCCAGAAGAACTTGTTCCATCTGTTACTTTAAAAAATAACAGGATAGGGTAATTCAGAATGCCATTGTCTCTTATATACTCTGGCTCAGTCATTTAATATAGTAAATTAATTCCTGGAGTATAAAATTTTGTGCTATGCATTTTATACTTTTGGACTGATAGCATCAGGAATAAGGACAGAATAACAAACATTAAAGAGGAACTGCTGTGAAGACCTGTGGCATTTATTTTTTTTATGTTTTTATATATATATGTATATTTTGTATTGTTTCTCAACATAAAATCTCAATTTGCTACTCTTATATTATTTAATTCGTAAGCTGAGACTTGATTTAACCCAACACTGGTCTATGTTACCAACACAAATAGAAGCTATTTCCAACTGTGCCAATTTTTAAAAATACAACCTTGTTTTTTTCCTAGTATCAGATACAGAACCACTATTTACTCAGACTGAGCCAAACTGAACAAATAAATATACTTTAAAAATATATAGTAATGATATAAAGCTCAAAATTATCCATGAGATAAAACAGAGAATGTTACAGTGGGGGAGAGTGTGGAGGGAGGAGGAAGACTGGACACCCATCATGACAATGACCTTGAAAAGTATCTTTTGGTATCTCTGTAGAAAAAAATGGGCTACTCCTAAATTAAGCCATCTTTCCTAAAAATAAGCTGTCCTGACAAGTTTTTCTAATCTAAGTGGCTCACAAAAGAATTCAATAAATAAGTTTTATCTATGATTTCAACTAGAAATATATTTCATGTGAGAAATCAAAGCTGTTGATTCATCACTTGCCATTATTACAGATCATCTTACTGTGAAATCACACATTTCAGTTAGTATAATAAAAACAATCTTTTTAAAAATAAAATATACACGCCAACTTAACAAAGCCTCACTGTTCCTGGACCACCTCTCGTAGGCCTACCTGGGATTTATCCTGTTCCAGTCTTTTTTTCTGCCTGACAATGTCTTCTAGGTGATACACTGATCTGGCTACAACAGGGTCGATATCAAATAAATCGTGTGATGTCAGTGAAGTTTCTTGCCGCAGCATCCACTTATAAAAGGGTAAGCCAAGGGGAAGGTCCACCTGAAAAAAACCAAGCAAATACTTTGTTATACTGAACTTCTAGAACTACTTCAAATCTCAAATAGACACTTTGGAAAGGTTAATCCCCAAGAAAGAAAATCATTTAGGAACTGTTTCTCCTAAAACGTGAATTAATTGCCTCAATTTGGGGTCCTAATATGGGGAAAAATTCAGAACACAAAGATTATCAATGTTGGACATATATTTATAATACCTATTACAAGAGGGCCTATGAAATACTAAGATGTGCTTAGAGGGATTCTACTCTACTGAGTTGAGTAAACTCAATTTCACTTCTACAATAGGCAGTATTACTATTTTGAAACAAGTTAAAATGAAGAACTTACTATATTTAAAACAGAAAAATAAAGTAAATGGAACTTCTAAAATACCTGATAAACAATTCATTACAGTTAAAGTAAAAAAATACAAGCTTGTGAATTTGACATCAGACAAAAATGTCTTATACATATTGATAAAGTATCTCAAAAATGTGGGTCGAGGAAAGGAAGAAAAGTCCAGAAATATTCAAACCTCCGTGAATACTGATTACTTAGGCTATTTTCACAAAAGCACTCGAATGGAAATTTAATGAGGTTCAACTACATCCTCATGGCTTTCCTATTGAATTAAAAATACATCAAATACTTCCAAAAATATAATTAATGGCACCCCTTAATGTTGCTTGATTCTTTGAACCTGGTTATTCAAGAAGTGGTCTAGGGACCGGCAAATGGGCATCCCCCAGGAGTTGCTATGAAAATTAGGAGTCTTGGGTAGTTGGACAGCCTCACCCCTGTCCTACTGGCATTTTAAACAAAATCCCCAAGTAACTCACGTGCACTTTCAAGACTGAAAAGCAGTGCTCTAAAATACAGCATTGAGTGCATAGGGCCAGGTACCTTCACAGAACATTGTACACCAAAATTGTAGAGAAGCAAACAATCCTAAACTTACCAATCTGAAATCCATGATAGCCTTAGCCATTAATTTTCCTAAGAAGCGAAACTTCATCTTAACCTTTGCGATATGAGCTGGCTTAGCTGTCCTACCAAAGGGAAGCGCAAACAGGCCCTGGAGGTTTTGAATATACTTGGTCCCTTCTTGGCTTCCTGTAAAACGAGCAATTCACCAAACTTCAGATGATATTTCCAAAACCAAAATCAAACAAAACTTGGTAACTAAGAACATTTAACAAACTGGGTATTCTAAAAATACTGGAAGGTGCTTCCTTATTTGATAAGAAAACAGATTAAAAGAAATTAAGGGCAGAGAATATGGTTCTCCAATAGAAATTAATTATATTTAACCAAGTAACATAAGGCTCCTTTAACTGATGTGAATAACACAAACTGAATGTGACTCACACACTAAAATTACCTTTGGGATTGCTAAGAGTTACTTCTTCACCTCTCCAGAGACCCAAGTCAGCTCTCTGCAGTTCCTGAGATACAAGTGCATAAAACTCCAGTGTAGGCCCAAGACCTGTACCGACCTACAAAAAAGAACGAAAAGTAGAATAATTTCAAATTTTAGAAATTGTAGTGCTCTTTTTTTTTTTTTTTAACCCTGTAAACCTCTTAGTGAGGTTTATACCAACAAGTATTTACTAGGAGGCATAAGACATTATTTTCCAAAACATCCTGATTGGACATTCCTTTAGTCTTGGGCAACTGGAACAAGAACTAGCAGCCCTTTAATTTTTTTCCACTCCCTCTCACCCCAACATTTTAATTGGTTCAACTTCATATACTGATAAAGTATCAGGGATCAATGTGCAGTGCACTGACTATATGTGGATCTCTTTCCCTTTTCAGCCTTTGGGAAACTGTTATTTTAAAATGAACTCAAATGTCATCTTTTCAGGAGAAACTTCTACATCTGACCCAAAGTTTGTCCTCTTTTTTAGGACTTAGATTTCAGTAACTTAGTACTTATTACACTTAGACTTTACCACAAATTCGTTACATGCTTTCATTTAACAGTTGTTTTAGCTGCCTTGTATCTCCAGGCATACAAAAGCCATTTTAATAGTTTTCATGAACAGAATATAAGAGAGAAGGTCTGAATCCATGCCAGCTCCTAAGGACAAACTTAGCCTCACACCAGACACACCAGTACTTCTTAAGCCCCATGGTGCAATGGAATCCCACACACGTACAAGGAAAAGGCCATGTCATGAAGATTCTGATCTTCTAATGCCTACCTTAGAGCCTCAGGCCTGCTGTTTTTTAAACAAGCTGTAAAGGTGATTGTGTAGCCTTGAATAAAAGCACAACTCCATGACATGCAATGATATGAACAAGCCTGGAGCAAATGTCCATAGCCTTATCATTCCTTCAAGACAGCAAGATGTGAAGTTTGGACCATAAATGAAGGTAGGGTGCTAATGACAACTGTGTATCCTAGTTTGTAATCTGTCATCTGCCAAGAGGGCACATTTCATTTACAAATTACTTCTAAATAAAGGACACTACTTTACCATTATTATAGTCACTTTTAAAAAACGACCCACACTAGCTTTCAAGATTAGATATAGCCCACCAGATGTTTAACTCTTTCAAAACAGTGATCAGCTTGGACCTGGTGACACCATCTTGAATGGTTCACATGCCTTTGTTAGAATTCCAGATTCATCCCAAAATTAGTGCTCCAACTGAGACCTTGCAGCCATTCTTGGCACTTGTCTTTCTTTCTCCCTAATCCAAATCATAAAACAACACTATAAGCTCTGCCTTCAAAACCTATTCGAAACTGATGGCCCACTTTACCCAGCCACCCTCTTTCTATCTGGCCTGCTGCTCAAGACTGTTCAATGGTTTGTATATGAGCATTTCCAACATCTTACATTCTGTTCTCATGGTGGCAACAATGGTCCTTAGAAAAAGCTTTCTCATCTCACCCAGAGCAAAGCACAAATTCTTACGGTGACCTGGAATCCTGTGATCCCTCTTCCTTCCCCCAGTGCCTCTGACCTTGAGCCCAATTACTCTATACTTGCTTGCTGTGCTCTGGCACATTCATCCTCCAACGATCCAGGCATACTGTCTGTTCTTCTGCTAGAGCTATTCTCCAAACAGCAACAACTTATCCTGCTCAAATATTACCTGAGTTCACCCAGCATCCTCACTATCATGCTCCATCCTCTTTATTTTTACTTTTCTTGACCACACACAGTTTAATATGTTCATGAATATGTGTGTGTGTGTGCTTCCCCAAACTAAAAGACAGCTCCATCATGGTAGGGACTTTGAATTCCATGTAACAGAGGACAGGGAAGAAAAGAGAAGCAAAGAAAAAAACTGCAGTAACACTTAATGTCCACAAGATGGTGTTTTAAACCAGTTGGTTCTCTCCCTGTGACATAAATTATCCCTGGAGAAAGTCACAGATAAATCAATCTTATTTCCTCCTTCCAAGCATTGTTATTCCTAAGAGCTAAACAAATTTAGCTTAAAACATTAAATCCCATGGGTGTGACTAAAGCACTTTTCCTGAGTCTCCATGGGAGGCGGAAGGCCGTAGACACACTGCTCCAACAACATGACCTAAATTTTCTGAACTTTACATGGCCACTTAAGGGCAGACAGTAAACTCCATAGTCTCCACTGCGAACTTATCATCCCCCGGAGACTGGACCATGTGTGGCATCAATCATCAGGGTGGATTTGAAGCCCTGGTTAACGAGCACAGAAATTTCAAGATAGAGCCAACTTTGATCTGACAATGTAGACCAGGAATCTTTCAGGGCTAGTTAGAAATTCTTTGTGGCTGATTTACGTGGTTGCCTGAAGCTCCATTCATATCCAGAGACAGTTGGGGCACAATGAAGCCAGAGCTTGGAATCTTTTACAGTCAATAGGTAAGACCCATGAGAGAAGATGACAGTCTTCATTTCTGCACCAGCAGTTCAATCCTGGTTCTTAAAAGGGTCAGTGTGAAGTTATTCTGACCTGGTTTAGGTTACATTTAAGATGCAATTCGAACAGAACCACGAAGGATGAGAGAGAAAGATAATCCCAGAAAGTATATTGGAGCAAAAAAGTACAAAGGAGGATGGGGTCATAGCTCAAGTGGTAAAGCATCTGCCTGTCAAGCATAAGAGCCTGAGTTTAAACCCCAGTTCTGGGGAACAGAAGGGAGGGAAGGGAAGTTTAAACAAAGTAAGCACAAAAATGGGTTAGCAGGTTAGAGCAGAGTTCTTGCAGAGGTTTTAACTGAAGAGTCTTACGCTAGCTAGGCAAGGGCTCTCCCACTACTGGAGCCATGACCAGCCCTTTTGGCTTCCATTAATTTTCGAACACGGTCTCGAATTTTTGCCCAGGGCAGGCTCAGACTGTGATTCTCCTACCTACAGTCCTCCCACATAGTTGGGATTACAGACAAACAGCATCATACCCAGTTTGTTTATTGAGATGAAGTCTCAGTTAACTTTTGTTCTCCAGGGCCCAACTCAAAATTGTGATCTACCAATCTCTGCCTCCTGAGTAGCTAGAATTACAGGTGAGAACCATGGTGCCCAGCCAGGTCTTGCAGTCTTATAAAGAAGAAATTTGAACAGGTATACACATAAGAACTACATAATCTGAGCAACAGCCAGGATTAGCGTGGATTCAAAAAGTCCGAATTTCTGGGCTGGTGGAGTGGCTCAAGTAGTAGAGTGCCTGCCTAGCAAGCAGACCCAGAACCACCATAAATAAGTGAATGAATGAAGTCATCCATCCCAATTTCTTCCCTCCCCCATTATCCACTAAGGTCACTTCTCCACAAGACTTTCCTCAGACACCTGAGACAGAACTCCTTGTCTGAAAGCTTCATTCACTTAGTTCTGGCATCAATCCTTTGTCCTGTGTCTCTCCAACTACACAGTAATTTTTTTTGCGGGGGAGGGGGGGCCCCCGCGGAATACTGGGGTTAAACTCAAGACCTCACGCTTGCTAGCCATGCGCTCCACCACTTGAGCCACTCTGCCAGCCTAACAATGTAACCTTTTGAATGTAGAAATTCTGCCAGAACCTGGATCACTAGCATATAAATATACTTTACAGTACACAACACCTTTAAATTTTAATTTTGGTGACTGAATACTCTTAGGTTAACTCTTCAAAAATTTTTTTCCACTCCCTACCCTGATTCTCAGAAGTTTTAATAAGAAGAAAATGCTTTTAAAAATCAATGAAAAATCAAAGTCATGATAAAGACTTCTTGGATAGCTATAGATAATCCCGTAGCTTAAACTGTTAAATCTATAAAGTACTTCCCATGAGCAGGCACTGTTCTTAACACACGAGCTCAGGTATCTTTGGTGGTGTATTATTGTCACCATATTTTACACAACAGGGGGCAAGTCGGTGGTAGAGCACATGTCTAAATTGTATGAAGCCACAGTTTCAATCCCCAGCATTGTAAAGTAAAAAACATTTAAATTAAAAAAAAAAAGAAATTTAGAAAAGAGGCAAGGCCATTTGCTTTTGTAAATAAATAACTGGTATAGTGGAAGGTTTGTAAATTTTATATCCTTAAGAAGTAGTCAAAATCTCCAAGTTTTGTCTTCAAAATTTGGAGTTCAAAAATACAGAAAATCACTGCTTGAGTCTTTTGGTATACTATCCTGCCTGTTGAAAAGCAACTTAAAAGAAGTAAAAGACAAAGACTGGAAAGGAAGAAATAAAATCTCTTTCTTCACAAATGACAGGGTCATCTACAATAATCGCTAGCAAGCTACAGCTGATGGTCCAAACTACAACAGCCCTAGCCTACTACCTACTTTTGTAATGTCTACACTAAGAATGATCTGTATTTTTAAATAGTTGAAAAAAAAATCTTGAAAATGATAGTGAGCTTCAAGTTTTAGTGATAATAAAGTCATGTTTTATTGAAACTCAGGCATGCTAATTTATTTGTGTCTATAACCACTTCCATGCTACAAAGGCAGAATGGATTAGTTGTGAAGGAGATCATGGGATCCACTAAGTTTAAAATGCTTCTCATCTGGCCCTTTACAGAAAAATTACCCAGGCCCTAGGTCTATAATAATCCTAAATGATCTATTAAAAAACTATTAGAACAAACAGTTAAGTTTATAATTGTCACAGAAAACAAGATCATTATCTACAAAACTCAAATGTCTACAAACCAGCAACTGAAAAGTGAAATGAAAGAACTTTTAACACTATCAAAAAAAGTATGTCCGAGAAGAAATTTTAACAAAATATATGCAGAAAGACTTCTAAGTCTTAAATTATGAAGCAATTCTGAAAAAAATTAAAGACAAAGTAGAGAGCTACATCATTTTCTTGGATTGGGAACAGAAATGTAAACATGTCAATTCTCTCCAAACAACACAATTTGACAAAATTCCAACCAAAATCCGTTAATCTTTGAGTAGTCACTAACAGACTGATTATAAAATTTACATGACGTATTAGTTAAGACCAACCTAACAACTCTAAAAAATTCTCACACTACCAGATTAAGATTTACTATGGAACTATAGTAACCAAGATTGTAGGTTAACAGAACCTACGTCTAAAAAGAGAATCAAAATTCAGTTGTGTGATTCCAATCAAAGTGCCAAGATAATTCAATAGGGGAAAAAAATGCTCTTCTCAACAAATAATGCTGGAAAAAAATAAAAGAAGAGTGAGGCATTGTGTCATACACCTATAACCTCAGCATTTGGGAAACTGAAGCAGGAAGACAGCATGTTCTAGGCAAGTCTGGGCTACCTGGAGACACCCTGTCTCAAAAAGGAAAAGTAAAGAAAAAGAAAAACCAGATACAAAAATCTGAAATTCCTATTCGATACCATATATAAAAATTAATTTAAAATGGATCATAGACTAAGGGCTAAAACCGCAGTTTCTATTAAAAGACATACACACGAGAAAATTTTTGAGATTATGGTTTGTGGGAATTTTTTTTAGAATGTAAAAGTACAAAGCAAAAAAATGATAAACTAGATTTCATAAAAATTAAAAACTTCTGCAACAGAAAAAGATCAATCATAAACTAGAAGAAAATAATAGCAAAACATTAATGCAAGTTTTGAATCCAGAAAATAGATCCTTTAACTCAATAAAACAAAAACCCAATAAAAAATTAAGGAAAACTCTTGGGGACTTTGCCAAAGAATACATAATAATAATTAATATGCAGCACAAAGATGGCCAATGTCATTAACTGTAAGGGAAATACAAATGAAAACCATAGTCAGATACCTCTACAAATTCACTAGAAGAACTAAATTTAAAAGTCTGATAATACCAAGTGTGACTAAATACATCAAACAAGTAGAACTCATATACATACATTCTGATGGGAATGTAAACTGTGCAGCCCATTTGGGAAAAGTTTGATATTACTTATAAAATTAGAACATATTCAGGGCTTGAAATGTAGTTAAGTGGTAGAGCAGGGATTTGATTCCCAACACCTCAAAAAACAAAAACAAAAACACCCAAAAGCAATTCAATTACGAGGTATTTACCCAAGAAAACAAAAAAAAAGTGTCTACAAAAAGACTTCGGCACAAATGTTCTTGGCAGCGTTACTCAAAGTAGCAAAAACTAAAAAGAATCCAGTGTGATGACTGGTAAACATATTACAGAACATCCACACGACATAGGACTACTCAACCCCTGCCAAAACAAATCAATACATGCAGCAACACGAATGAATATTATGATGACTACATCACTACAGGATTACATTTATGAGGAGGTTAAAAAAAAAAAAGAGGCAAAGCATTATGAGGTCAGAAAATAGATGAATGGTTGCTGGAGCTGGGGACATAAGAGAGGACAAATTGCCAAGTGGTCTGAGATTCCCTTTTATAGTGGTGGATGGTCTTCATCCTGACATGGTAGTGGTCAAAAACTGTACATCTGTCAACTCAGGACTGCACATTTTTATACTGTGCAGTTTATTACTATATCTCAGTAAATGTGACTTTTTAAAAAAAGCAGTTCAAAAATTTCTAAAAAGTTGTTAGATGTTTAAAATAATCTTCCAGTTTATCAACTTCAAAGGTTACACAAATGTGCTCTTATGCCAAAAAAAGCTATTTTATACTTGAACCTCTGAAAAATGGAGAATTTAAGAATAAATAATCCAAGAGAAAATAGACAGAAGTTTAGTTTTTAGCTATATTTTCCAACTGCCTTTCAGAATAATCCCAAGAAATTCAAGTGACATTTATTGAAAGCACAAATCAAGCTATAAACAACATCATTGGATTCATATGCTCACCTCATTTTCATATTGGATTTCTAACATGGCCCGGGAGCTGCCCAGGTCCTGCATCACAGACTCAGCTTGTTTCAGCAGCTCCTCTCTGTTCACGGTGCGCTACAAAGAAGTACAGATATGAGGAAAGTATGCTCTGCTTACACTGTGCTTTTTCATCAACAGGTGCCATTTCTGTAAGTGCAAGGCAATCAATTTAATTGGTAAAAAATCATTGCCTTAAATGTATATCTCAGAAAAGGGTAAAAAGTAGCTACATTGCTACAAACACCAATAGTACCCTGGCATAGATGAAGGAAAGCTAGATGCCATGTGGTTACCAAGAATTGTGGAAACCCATGCCAATTTCAGAAAATTGAATTTGGAGAAGAAAAGGATCTCTGTCAAACATCAATACAGTTCGGGGCTGCAGCTGCATGACATCTCCCTGGGCACATGTATACCTTTATGATGGAGAAATAAGTATGAGATGAGAGAGGAGAAAGGTGAGCTGGAAACCTACTGGCTTTGACCTGCCATATCCTACAAGCACTACTATAGATGCATCCTAATGAGATTCATGAAGATGACAAAGGTCTTGCCATTTCTAAAGCATGGCAAGACTGCTATTTATGGAATCCTCATGAGACAAATGAAGACAAATAACATGATTTGTTTTTAAGTACAATATGTGCTGTTTTGTTTCTTGCTACAAACCCCTTCCACTCTTTTTTTTTTTTTTTTTTTTTTTTGTAACTGTTAATGACTTTTATGAGACTTTAGGACGTAAAAACTTTTGGAAGACAGATTATATCCTTACAGGCAGATGTACAGAAACATCATCAGAGAAAAACAGTGTGGGCCAGAAGTGTGGGGTTGATCTCACATGAGAATGGCTCAGGACACTGTGGTTAACAGTCCAAGTGTGGACCGTGATTAGAAGCACAGAGATGAGATTAGCAACACTGAAGCTGCCGGCGAGGGAGACTCAAAACATATTCAGGACTTTGTTTCAGTCTCTTATAATTGGAGTGATTTGTTAAGGGAGAAAAATAGATCTGGTTAGGTCTAAATATCACATAAACGGTATTTTAAAGAGGGATGCTATAGTTGAGCTCCTAGTGTAGAATGAAAAGAAAGTATCAGAAAAGATAAGATCCTTCCTTTGTACAAGAGTATGGTAACTAAAAGGACAAAAGGAAAAAAAAAGGAATTGTAGAAACGATTTCAGAAACTAAGGGAAAACACTTTTAATATACACTAAAAAATAATCATACAGCTAGTTCCAAGAGATTGAAAGCTAATACAGAGGTGATTAAGAGAGATAAAATGATTACTGTGTCTATTTTGGGCCTCCAAAACCAACAGGCATAATTAGTAACATAACATTTCTAGTTTTCCCTTTATTTTGAAAAGCTTAGCTTAAGTATACTTGGGAGAGAGACTTACTTTTTTTCTATCCAATCTAGGTGCAACTCTGCTATCTTGAGAATCAGACTGGTTGATTTCTGGGTTGGTATCAAGTAATCTTTGCATTGCCCGGTCCCGATCAAATGCAGTTACATAAAAAAGCATTTGCCGGGTATCAAAAGGAAAGAAAAATGGGCTGTAAAAAGATGCAATATAAATTGATTATCTGGATAAGAATCAGAAGCCATTTAAAAAATCAAAACCTGTATTAGAAACAACTAATGTGATACAGAATAATTATAACCAATAAAGTAGTCAAGGGAAATTGAGTTGAAATTTTTTTCATAATTCTTGTTGGGTTTTAATTTTAGAGCACTTTGCTGAGACAGGGTCTCAGTGTGTTGCCCAAGATGGCTTCGGATTCCTTGACTCAAGCGGTTCTTCCAAGACTCTTAATCAGATGGACTTGAGATGAGCACCACCAAACCTGACTCTGACTGAAATTTCAAAGTGCCAGGTAATAATGTGTTAAGTAGCCTCTCCACGTAAAAATCTGAAGTGTTAACCTTTAAAATCCTACACTTCAAAGTCTATCCAAAATCATCTGCAGTCTACTCCAAAGCTTTTAGGAAGCATACCATGACTAGTGGAAGCTAAATTTTAAATGACTACCCCTCAAGAGGTTGCTGCCCCACTCCTGCCCCCAACCATACATACAGAAGCAATGGCTTTACAACCTCAGTTTTCCTTCCAGCTTCTGGCTATTTTAAGCACCCAAAACTGAAAAAAATCAGCCACTGAGTTCAAAGAACCAACCCTGCAGTCTTACTATATTAAGGTTTTCCTGCCTCTTGGTGCATGTTGTGATGGTTCTTGACACCAGTGCCAGAAGCACTTCTTACAACGACCTGAGTTTTCTAATCGGTTGTGTCAAATATGGCAGCCATGTAAGGAGTGGCAAGTGAAAAATCTGAATTTCTAACTTCATTTCATTGTAATTAATAATTTAAACGTAAATAGCCTCACCTACCCAGTGGTCACTTTTTCTTTTTTTTAAATCCAGGACAGAGTCTCTCTGGTTCAAAAGGCCCAAAGAAGCAAAGAAATATGCCACTGGAAGTCCAATTTTAGGATGGCAGAGGATTTGACTCCCCACAATCAAATGTACTTGTTATGTTCCCATTTCATATAGAAAAACATGTACAAACAAGGAAAACTGCTGCCAGTCCCAACTTGACTGTCTGTCTATATGCTGAAAGAATACTATTTAAGGAAGTTGTGATTAAATGACAATGTTAATATTTGAACAAGTACACCACAGGTTTTGTGGTGCTCACAAGTGTTTCTATAATAAAATATGTAAAGACCAACATTCACAAAACCATCAAAGTGATTGTCTTACCAGGTTTTTCCTAACTCAGTAAGCCATGTTGGGATGTTTCCTGTCATGATTACTAAAGGATCTTGAAGTTGCCTATTTGCTTTTGCTGTCAACTTACTGTTAATAAATTCACTAGTTGGAATAATCTCCTTGCACATTGCATTCTGTAAAACATAAAAAAAATGCATGTAGGAAAACATTAGGATTATAAATCACAATTTGCACCTCTCCCCTGTATCAGAAACAACAGTTAATAATAAAATGGTCAGAGAAGAGTAAAATCAAACCACTGAAATTTAGGATAACTGTTAGAGAAATTTCCTAAATTTTTTCATATACAACTTTTAAATATCATATATTAGTATAGGACATAATTATAAATGTAGTAAAAAAACCATCTTATTTAATCAAAGGCTTAGGACTTAACAAATTACAACAACTTTTAAACAGGACCTGTGATTCCTTTAATTTTAGATTTTTTTAAAAAGCAGATGGACTGAAACAGCTGTCATTTATTTTACCAAGTAAAAGAATAAAATAATCACAACACCATCACTTTAAGAGCATTCTTAAGATTGAACATCTCAAAATTAAGAGCATTTAAAATAGAACGAACTTAGATTTATGAGAAAAATTGTTACAATGTCTTTATTTCTGTGGAACCAAGGAAACTGGTGTTTAAAAATTACTATAAGAGGTGGTCCCTATGGTATGGTAAAAATAGCCTAACTGCTCAGGAGTTATTACCATAATATAAAAAGATGGGGAAGAGGAGGTATGCCCAATTAGAAAAGAAGTAAGTACTGCAAAGAAAAGTTCCTCAGAAAACAATGTACATTATGCAGTCCTTATGTTATCTGAAACTGATTCCAAGATTATAATAAATAATAGAAGTATCTTCTTTACTAAATGTTTTCTACTGATGAAATTTGTTTCACTCTACATGAAAACATGAATTCTCTAAAAACTGAGAATGTAAGTTTGTGGCCACTTTCTTTTCAAATTTAATTTTGTAGATTCTTAACTTTTTGTTTTCTAGACCTTAAAAAGCCAGGCATCTGATTGAAAGAATTCAAATTGTAGTAATTTCATAATTATATTCAAAGAATTTACTAGATATAAATCACAACTTTAAAACCATGAACACAAGAAGACTACCACCTGATACATTATCTTACCGTGCCATAACTCATCATGCTTTTTTGCATTTCTGGGGGAAGTTTTTGTTGGAGCCGTTTGGGCTCTTCCTCTTTTTCCACCAACACAATCTTTATTACTTTCTTCATCCTCTCTCACAGGTTTGTACCTAAGGTGGTGAGACAGAATGTAAGCCAGATGTAAATTTTAAACCTGCAATTCTGTCTACAATTCCCAAGTCCAAACCACAGAGTGAACACTTGGAGTTCCCAGAAAAATTCTCTGAAGTCTACCCTCTGTCACGCTCCTCATTTTGGATTCAGAGAATTACCAACAGCACAGCTTCCTAGAAGAGACCACCTAGCCTACATCTTCTTAGGAGGGACCATCTGAGAAACTCCATGAGTGGTTTTGGAAGAATGACTCTCTTTGTAAGAAACAGACACTAATGCATGGTAATGCATGAATCTGTATCCAAACACTTTAAGAGACAATTTTCAAGTCCAATTAAAGATATTATGCATCTTAAAAAAGACCAATGTAAACTACTAGTATTGCCCATGACTGTGTTTTCTAGTAGACTGAATGAAGAAGCTACATGTATACATATATGCACAATTAAATATTTGGAGATTTTAGTAATTAAAGTATAGGATTTAGAGCTCCCTCTCTTAACAAGTCAGCCATGAATTTAATATAAATTCAAAAACACACAAATAGTTTTGAAGTTCATAAACACCAAAAGAAATAATTTTCAAACTTGCCATATTGTATGAGTCTTTGTCCAAATACCAGCTCTCCCTAAAGGATTGCTCTCATCATCCGTGGATTCTCTTTCGTCTTCAGCCTGTATACTGAACTGCCGCACTGCCTGATACACAGTCATGTTATAGGGCAGCAAATGTTCTCCAATGTAAAATTGTAGCCTGTGTCTTACATTTCCTGAATTTAAGAACTGAGCAGCCTGAATAAAGCAAAGCAAAATTCACTTAAGCTACAGGTACTGATGTTTCTAAAGTAATCCATCCTTACCTGCTAGGGATATAGTCCCAAAACCTTCCTAGATGTTTGAAATACAGATAGTACACATAGGTCAAATATCTCTTTTCTGAAATGCTTTGGTCCCAAAGCATTTCCGATTTCTTAATTTTTAAAAAATTTTAGGATACTTACATATACATATTGAGATATCTTAGAGATGGGGACCCAACTCCAAACATGAAATTTTAATTTATGATTCATATACACCTTATAAACACAGACTTGAAGGTAATCATTTACAGGAAGTTTAGTTTACCTGAATTTTTACTGCAAATTGTCACACAACCCCAAATGTAGAATTTTCCTCTTGTGATATCATATAAGCACTCAAGAAATTTAGGAGCTTGAAACATTTTGGGTTTTCATCACACTAGGGATGCTCAGCCTATTACACTCTTTTGCCCTGTACATACACAACTATGCTCAAGCTTAATTTAAAATTAGACATAGGAAGAGATTAATGATAATAACTAATAATATAATGAAATTTATACAGGACTTATTTAAAACTTACAAATTAGTCCCTTCTAGAATTTTCCACATAATATTTTCTGACAGTGGTCAATGATGGTAACTTAAATCATGGAAAGCTAAACCTCAAATAAAGGGTGACTACTGTATATTACAACATGGCAGGAAGAGTATCTTACCAGAGACTCATCTATTTCCTCATCTGATCCATCATCATCACTGTCTTCATCATCTTCTCTTACTCTTCCATAACCTAAATACCCCCAAAAAAGACTGTTAAATGCCTAGCAGATAAATGGTTAAATTGTTTTAACCATTAGGAAAAACATTACACTGATCTATAAAGCAGAAAGATCTAAAAAGAATTCTCACAGAATGTTCTATTACATTCCAACATGATAAATTAGCTCACTCAGATTAGTTAATCCCTAGTAAATTCAACAATGCCTACATATTAACAGTAAAAGCACAAGTTCCTACTTGTCTATGTTTTATCAGAAATAGCACTGAACAAGGAAATAGCTTATGTATCTTTTAACACTAATTTCATCCCAAATACCTGTGTAACAAAGAATATATGAAAGTACCTCTAACTACAAGGTATCTCTCGATAGCTTGTACCAATGCCAAGGGATCGATCTTCACAGGTCCACCCTTCCACTGCTTCACATTTGCACAATCTGGATGTCTTTGTAACTGGCATTTTAACTGATGAGTATTGAAAAATTTTAAAGCCTGTGATCCTCTGTTAAGAGAAAAGCTCAAAATAATTTGTGAAAAAAAGTTATTCTATTATTTTCACAATCAATATTCATGAACTTAAATAAAAGCAAGATAATACAAACATAAGCACTTATCAGTTATGAATATGATTAATGCCAGCAATTCAAGTTATTTACTACAAGTTATTATAACTAAGAAAAGACCACTGTATTCGTGCATATAAAAGGTTAAAAAAAATAACATTTGGCCTCTACCACATGAAGCAAAAATACCCAGGTAAGCAGAAAAATCATGAATACTGATAGCCATAAAATGCCACGGATATTAAGTGATTTCTCTGGCATAAAAATTCTTCAACTATTTGTATTTCTGCAGTATTTTATCCTTTTCTATTATATTCTACTTAAAAACAAAGAAAACCCCTCTTTTCTGCCTTTAAAGATTTCAGCTTTGAAATTAAGAACTAACCTTCAAATTCAATTTGCAACATACTTTTGAATGAAGCAGTTTAATAGCTACATCCATTAATATTTGGTAATGATGTATTATAAATACCTCATTTCTGAAAAGCTCACACAAAACTTAAAATTCAGTTACCTAAAAGATTTCATAAAGCATGCCAACAGGAGTATGGAAAAGAGTATTACAAATATTCAAAATGTACATCTACATTTCTATGTAATATTTTATGTATATATGTACATATATAAACACACATATTTCATGCAAATCTGAAAAAAATGAAAAACTTCATGGCTTCCTCAAGTTTAATTTAAAATGTCCCTTTAAGTCAACAACTATTCCAGGACTGAATAATAATCAAAATTGAGTCTGGGCATGGTTGCTCATGCCAGAAATCCCAGGTACTCAGAAGGCTGAGGTAGGAAGATTTGTGTTCCAATGCCTACCTGGGCAAAATGTGAGACTCTACCTGAAAAACAAACTAAAAGCAAAACAACTGGGGTGTGGCTCAAGTGATAGCGGGCTTGCCAGTAAGAGCAAAGCCCTGAGTTCAATCCCCAGTACTGGGAAATTAAACAAAATTGAATACAAAGTGTACATCAAGTTTCAAAGTGGAAAACAAGCCTATAGTTCACCCTATGGTGGATTTATTTAAAAATAGATACAGGTTCCAAATTTTAGGGCTTCTTAAAAAACATCAGAATGTGGATTTTAAAATCACACTAGTTTTTATTTTCTAGGCTTCCAATTAATACATTCTACGAAGCTTGTAACACTCTATAACTCACAACAATTAAATTTTATAATTAATTCTTTCTGTAGTGCCTCATGACTCCTTAACACTACTGTATGTTAGGGAAAAAATTAGAAATACTTACATATTAAAATCTATCAAAGTATAAGGTTATAAGCACTTATCACATACAGAACCATTGTAGAATGTAAAGATTTTATTACCCATATTCATAGAATTCTTAGGAGAAGTTTTTATATTAAAACATATCAAGTTAAGGAAAATTACACAAGCCTAATAGAAAAGTTGTCAACATAGTCACTGGTTTATATACGTTTAAAACATCAGATTTAAGACACATGGTATGATCTAAAAGATAAAAATATTTGATTCATTCTTTAGATACTCAATTTCTTTAGTAATTATAGAAAAATGTTCTTTAGGTAGACCAAGACTTCTCCAGATCTCTTGACACTTTTATCTCAATAAAAGTAACCACAAAATTCTAGTGGCAAGGGAACACCCAGGCAATGGTCCTTACCTTCCTCCAGTGCCATTTCCACTAGGGAAATCATGCACTTTGACTGGAAATTGCTCCATCTGGCTGAGGCAGTTGTTCATCTTGTGAACTAATGCCAACAAAGGTGCATTACCCATTGGTTCTACTCTTCCAATGGGCTCTTCTCCAGGAAGCTAAGTTATAAATAAAGCAACAGGTTAAACATGCCATCTTAAAAATAACACACTCTTCAAAAATAAGGTGTTTTTACAAAAGAGAACTATTCATTTTTATTTTTTATGACAGATTTGGTGGGACATTTCCAAATATTTTTTTAAAAACCACTCTATTTTTATAGCCCTAAATCCTTTATTCATAATTCATGAATCCAAACAGCTCTGAAAATACAAGTCATTTGGTGGCACCACTTGACCAGACAGATACAAAACTACTTACAGCTCTTTTTCACTTGATTTTAGTAAGGACAGTCAGGTGTTGCTGCTGAAGTATTTTAACTCGTATGATACAGACAACTGTTCAGAATCCACCGTTTTTCTTTTTTCTTTTACAGCAAGAGGAACTGAACCCAGTACACGGGCTAGCTAGACAAGGGCTATACCATTAAGCCACATCCCCACCCTCTAAGCAGTTTCAGATACGAGATTACAGACCTGAACATAATCTTAGGCGTGGTTTAAGACTTCACCCAACACTGTGACACATTTATTGAAGCTGCAATAAGTTATCAACTCTGTTCTAAGTACCCTCATAAGTAAAAATATTATTAGCAGTGCTTAAAAATGCCTGTGAACACTACTGAAAGGTTGAAAAGTTTTGCTAATCCATGGGAGAGTAGACCTATTACACGGATAATCCAGAGAATTTCCTAAGGGCTGCCTTCTCTAAAGTAGTTGTAACGGAACAATGTTAAATCAGCATTATTTAAGAGTAAGTGTCTCTTGCTCACCACTGAGAATGAAGGAAGGGGAGTCAGAGTCTTTGGATCCTGGCCTTGTAATCCACATTATAAACATTATAAACAATGACAAAGCAGTGAGTGGAACTATTAGGACTGTATTTTATGTACAAAATGGAAATAAAGGTCTACTCCATCTTATGTCTATAGTCTTATACATCATATCTACCTATTTTCCTAAAGGAAGATAATGTAAATTGCTAAATGTTTAAAAAACAGAATAAAATATAGTCATGGGAGAGAGACTACTATTCATGACCTATCTGGCAGGGCAGGGGAAAAAAAATCCTCTCAAGATACTTGTCAAAGGAATAACCATTACCTACTGGAAATGATGACTGGAAAGAAAATGCATGCATTTGTGAACACTGATTCTCAGATTAAGCTATGCAAGCATTATTAGTTAACTTACTGGAGAAGAAAAAAATACATGAAGGAATCGCTTTAATCTGATCTCTCTGCTCACGGCATCCTTTTCACTTTTAGATGTCAAATACAGCAACAGCTGCTTCACAAATCCACTATGCTGGATTTCAAATGATGAAACATCTGATTCCGAGACTATGCTACGGATTTCTACAAGGCACTCAGCTCCACCATCCACCTACAAGAGATGGGAATACAATTTCTATACTGATTTAAATAGCATTTTGTAAACAAACAATTCACATTTCCTCAGAAGGAGTCACATTTTATTAGTGCATTTTTTAAAAGGAGGGTGAGGGAGGTGTGCATTCTTAATAAATCCTTGGAAAATAGGGTCTTACACAAAGAGTGTTAAATATTTCATGATGAAAAATAGTACAAAAAATAATATGTGTACCTTTCTTTTTGGAGGGAAAAAGGATGCAAACTTAAATTGAATAAAGAGCTGTAACACCAGAATGAAAAGATCAAACAAGAATACAACACATAGCTTTAAGTTAATACATTTTAAATCTTAATGAGATGGGTAATTTCTTAGAAAACAGTAATCAGTATTACTCAAGGTATATCAAAAAAACACAATCGTGAAGAATCAGGTGAAATGTAAAAGGATAAATCCTCTACACTCTCCAGTTAATTACTCTGAGATCACAGGTGAAGGAGGTGAAGAGGCCAATCAACTCTAATCCCTATAGTTGAAGAGGATTTAGAAGATATGTGCTTCAATGACTTTTCTGCAATCTCTGCATTTGTAAAGAAATGCAGATGTAAAATACATGGGATGTAAAAGAAAGTCAGAGATGAGATTTCTTACACATTTAATAAGATGATGAAATATGACAGTCGACAAGTAAAAGAAATTATTAGTGGCAAAGATAAATGATTGGCTTAAAAAAAAAGTTCATTTGTGTTAGTTAAACCCATGGAAAGCTAGAAAGTTGTCAAGGAAAGAAGAGCAAGAATGTGGAGATGCCATGAGACTGAAAAGGACTAGGAAGGCGCACTGGACACAGCACCTGGAGGTTGAGTTGTTCAGTTGCAGCACAAAGTCTCTGAAGGACATTCAGTGCAGGGTTGCTTCCATCCATATTCTCAGAACTGAAATAACGCTCCACGAATTTATGAGCCTGCTCCTTAATCCAACCTTTAATTTTTTCTCTATAAGGAAAAAGGAGGAATTAAAGTCTCAATGTACATACAAAGGCTCTCGATTAAAACTGTTGATCACAGGCAAATAACTACTAGATTAAAAACCTTTCTGAGTCATGTTTATAGATTAATAAATTCAGATTCCATATTAACCAAATTAAGTTTCATTTTGAAAATGAGCCAAGATGTACCTAGAGAATTATTCAGGTACTTTAAATACATTACAAGTCATTACCTGAGCAGTTAACAAGATGTTCTAATTTTGGGGGAATCATACAATGTAAAATTTTAAAGTGTTCACACCCAAGTGCAAATTATATGCGCTTGTTTCCTAAAACATAGACTCCTGTCCCTGGAGAGTTGAAGCTGTACAACAGAAACATCTACCTCCTAGGTGCATAATAAGCTATGAAGAATGAGACCTAGCTATTTAAATTACAAGCAATGATGGCTTTCAAAAATATATTTGCCTAATCATTTTCAATGGAAATTCAGAAAACTAGTATCCAAAACAAACAAAAATAAATTTTCACAATGGTATTTGTTTTAAGTTCATATTTGCAGAAGTGATAATCCATTAGTATTCTACATTCAGAATCCACAATATAAAACAATTCTCATGAATTTTAAAGCCATAAATCGGTGTGAAATAGCTTAGTTAATGGTAGAGTTCTAAGCTCTTTTTGTTAAAACGAAAAAAGACGTCAAAAATGTGAGTGTAGACAGAAAATGCAAGCTTTTCCTTGTCTAAGACACAACTGAGGAAAAGACTTCAGAGAAAAAAATTTGTTTCCTTTTGAACATATATGACCTTCCAGTTAAGAGTTATCAAATGGCATTTTTGTTTGTTTTTTTTGCCTATACAGGGGTTTTGAACTCAGGGCCTCATGCTTGCTAGGCACCTCCCACTTGAACCATGCACCTAGCACTCAAATGGTGCTTTAAAATATTAGACAAGAACTTAAAATAAAGCCAGATGCAGAGTTCATGAACTGAGAATCTATCTCTATCCTTGAGCTATGCCTCTTCTTAACAACCTAAAGTTCTGTTTCCCTGTGTCCCCTCCAAACGATTCCCTGAATGCAATAATGTTAAGGTTTTCTGATACAGGAATAGAAGCAATACAGAAGTCCCACCACTTCACCTATTATTGGATAGAGTGTCCTTTGAGGCAGCCCTGGCAAGACCACTAACTCCTGCAGTTCGTGCTGGCTCAATGTTGTTGCTGTTGGACTGTGCACTTAACCTTCCCCACGTTTTTGGATTCAAGCTTGCCAGGAAGGAAGATTTAGGTGACTGAGTGGTAGTGGGGCTTTTAGCTATGAAAAGAAAAGAGAACCTACAGTTAAATTGTATGAAAACCAACTGAATTTAATACTCACAATTTTAATAGATTAACTGAACGAACTAAGAACAGTGGGTCTTCAGGAAACTTACTGCTACCACCTTCCCTTCTACCTCCCTACAGTTTCAAAAAAAAAAAAACTTACCTTGATTGTCTACTTTGTCATCGTCTCTTGGAGGTGAGTACTTTGGCCTTCTTGGCCCTCGTTTGGGCAGTCGTTTTCTCTTTAGAACATCACTTAATCGACTATCACATGAGAAAATATGAGATAAGTTTAGTAATTGCCACTGAAAAAGCAAGCTAAAATGGCAGAAACAGTAAGTTACAAAATATTGTCATAACAGGGTATTTTTTCACTTAGTGATTATTTAAAGCTAAGACTGGGCCATTCAAATTCTAGAGGTGTATGGATATAGAAAATTATTAAAAACTACTAAAATTAAGCCAAATAGAACATTTGATTAATCATCTGTGTTCAACTTTATTATAAAATGCAATGCATGAACTGTATTAAAAACAAATACACAATACAAAGAGTCAAAACAGTGAGAACTGTGTAATCACCAACTAGAAAAGGAGTACATTAAATGTGAATGCCGTATTTCTTCCCTAACCTAAACGGCAACAAAATACACATAGCACTTAATGTCCATACCATCAAAATACTTCCCCGCTTATATACTACCCAAAGTAAATTTCCTGGAGTGACAATGGAAGAACACTATAAATGAATGCATTTATACACACTTTAGACTTTTAATGTATGTGCAAATCTAGTAGGTTTAGACTATAAGTAACCTTTTTTCAATTAGAACGACACATGTGTCCTATTTTGTTGAGACAGGGTCTTACTATGTAGATCAGGCTGGCCTTGAACTCATGATCCTTCTCTCCTGTCTCAGCCTCATCAGTGCTCACTCCCTAACTAGAGACTTTGTTCTTAAAAACACTGCCAACAATTTGAAAACAATAGATTATTAGACTAACAAAGTTATGTAAGATGAACAGATGAAAAATGTTCTGGTTCAGCCAGTCTGTAGCTCCAATGAAATTAGAGAATTTGGGAGCCATCTTCCAATATGTAACACTTTTATGAAATACACTTAATGTGTTTTCAAATGTGCTTGATAGTCAGGAAAAACAGACTTTCAAAAGATGAATTTAAATATGATCGAATAATTTGTTTTAAAAATAAAGTTGCTGAGTACTTTTTACTTGGAATATAGAACCACATAAGACTGAAAATATTTTGAGAAAAAGATACTTTCCAGTATTTGGAATCATCAACTGTTAAGACTCTAGAATCAACTCCAACTCTAATTTAAAGTGGCTCAGAAATACTGCATTTGTCTGAGCTGTATCACAGCACCCTGAAATTTTCTGAGGACCTACAATATCTTGGTCACCATGATAGCATTAAAAAGCAAAACCCTGCAATCGTTCAGGGTTACTGTAGCAACCATGGTGTGAGAGTGGAGCTGCGTGGAAAGGGAACACAGCAGACAAGCGAAACCTCAGAATAGGGAGGGTACAGAGACCCAAATATTCCCTAGGCCCTCTCTCCTCAAACTTGGTTTGGTAATATAGATACCACCTGTTTTCCTAAAATAATTTAAGTCACTGGACTAGAAGGCGCAGTTTGTTGTTACAAGTCGTAGAAATGCCAAAACGCCTACTTAAGCTAGAGTGGACAACTACCACCAGGTGGCACCAAAAGCAGTTCTTTTCATCCCCTCCCTGCAAAGTTTAGTTTGTTCACTTTAGTTTTTAAGACTCTACTTATTCAGTATTACTACGTTTTATCAATATCTGAAGAAGCAACATGTAAAATCCCAATTTGATTCTAAATTTCAGAACTGAATCTAGCTTATCATGTACTATTCACATAGCAATACTGAAGTTTCTAACAAAATTAAAACCAATATGAGTTTTGCAATATTCTTAATGGCACAGTGTAACAAAGATGAGAAGTCAAGAAACAGATGGAAGTAGCAATTTTTAAGAAGTGCCATTTTCCCTTATTAAGAGCAAAGTATTTACTCCTATTTGCCAACTTATTATAAATGGGAAATTAGATTTTTAGTATTTAGTATTCTCCACTGTATCAACACTTAGACATCACAAGAGCAGGTATGCAGTACGTAGCAGTACATTAAATAATCACAGTTATGTAACCAGAAACACATGGCTGAAATACTAGCTCTATAACACTGTGAAAGTTGCTAATGTCTCTTCAGACTTAGTTCCCTTGTATAACAACAGGAATAGCATGTGTCTCTTATACTTCCTAAGGTTTCCAAAAATGTTTTCTTTCCATTCCATTAAGCATATAATAAAAGACAAAGGGCTGGGATACAGTTCAGCAGTAGAAGCGCCTGCTAGCATGTGTTGAGGTCCTATGCTCAGCCATACACCACCCCCAAAAAAATTCCACACAGAAAATGTCCACTCTCTCTGGGATTTTATCATTTTACTCTATGAGACTCGGGTACCAAAGCAGAGCTAAAGGCAAAGAACACAAGAATCACAGCAGAACTCCCACTCACCCTTGAGGGCTCAGATCCAGAGAATCATCTCTGCTATGCTGCAAGCTGGGTGATCCCAGATCAGCTGTAGCATTGGTGGCGGCTGTAGCTGTTCCACTGCTAACTGACGTTGTGGAGCCCAAGGATCCTGACCCATTTGTACAAGCCTTTGGTGGACTCGTCAACAAAGATTCTGACTCTGCTAAATGCTTTACTTGATGCATTACACCTTTATTATAACAGGGATGAAAAGGAGGCAATTTTAATCAGGAGCATCTCCACCATTACAAAAATCCCTAAAAGCTAACACTGATATGCAGGGAACTGCTTGAAAAATAACTGGTAAGCAGGGATGGGAACAGTTTAGAAGCCAGAGTTTTCATTTAGACACCAATCAGAAAAATATAACAAAAACATAAGACAATGAATGCATTCTAAGTTTCAAAACCATATATTTTAAAAAAGCACTACTCAAAGTTCAAAATATCCCTTATATAAACAATGAATTTTAGAAATACAGTGCACCTTGTGATGATAGCCAGACCAAGAGGAAAAGACCCAAACTTGCAGCTAACTTCCAAGAGCAACAGGAGACAGGAGACAAGACCACAGTAACACAGCTACCAAAAAGAGGTACTGAAGGGTGGTGATATTATATACTTGAAGGAGTATAAGGAAAGAAAAGTTGTAACTTGTGAGACAGGGGTGCTTATCTGGGCTAGGATCAGGATTGTGGCAGGGTACATATGTGATGGTGTGTGTCTCAGAATGGCTGTGTCCACTGCATATAAATCTGAGGATGAATTGATGTGAAATGTGCACATATTCACATTTTTCTGGGAAGGAGGCCAGAGCTTCATCATATTCATTTAAAAAAAAAAAAAAAAAAAAAAAAAAAAGACTGACTTTAAACTTTGAATACTTATTCCACAAATAGTTTGAAGTAATTTTATGCCAGGTTGTGCAAGACACTAATGACTTGGCAATAAACATGACAGATGCACTTAGGGTACTTCCTGACTAGGGAGACAGACTTTTCAAGAAATTACAATCAAGAGTGATATGCTTATGAAAGATAAAATACAATGCTGCTGGAGCATACAGTTAGGAGGACAGAACTCAAACAGGAATGAAAGCAGGATCTTCAGGAAGAAGTAATCTTTAAACTAAAATCTTTGAAGAGCAGCCAGACCTGGCCAGATGGAAAGCAGCAGTACTAATCAACACTCCCACATAAACCTCATTATATATGAACTATATAAATATTTGAGGGTAGAAAATAGACATTCAAATTTCTCAAACTGAAGAACTAAACAAACTGCTTTCTGGAGGATTGTTCCAAGCCTTAAAATATTCTATTAATAACACAATGAAGAATAAAGTAAATCCTCTAACATTAGAGGTATTCTTATTCTTATCTGCTGATAGAATTTACTAGGGAAGAAAGCAATACCTGACTTTTTTGGAGGAATCTTTATGGATGGCCATGTAGTACCTGTATTTAAAAAGTCTATGATTCTAGAGTTGAGTATATATTGAAACATTCATCGTCACTGAAAATCATGAAGTGTTCCTCAGCTGACACTGGATCTCCTACAGGCTGTATTTATGCAGACATTTATGTAAGTGTGTATGTGTATATATATATAAACGCACACTCTACATGCATTGTAAACTGGATCACGTGAGGACCATGAACTTACTATCACAATGGCATTACCTTCTCTTCTGAAGTAAACACTAAAAATACCAGGTAGCTTCTGCATTAAGATTTCTGCCATCTGAAGTGCTCCGACTACTATCTTCAGGTCTTGACTAGATAGCATGGATGCAATGTGACTGAAAAACAAAGTATTTCTATATAAAACTTTGCCTGAATTTGATAATTATTTTAGACCATACTACTTTAAATTTGGGAGCAGATACATTTCATTGTGGAACCATTCCACTGTAAAAAATTTCATCTTAAATTTTCAACTTCTCCATTTTATCTTTTTTCATTAAAGATCATTACTATAACGATGGCAAAAGAGCCCAAGATACTCCAAATGAATTTATGTGTTTTTTTTTTTTTCTGTAGTATGACTTTGGAACTTTCTGAAATTACTTCAGAGATTTGAATTACTAAAATGTTTTTTATTATTTTCATAAACACACCTTGAAACAGCATGATTTTTCAGAACATCCTTCAGAAGTTCGGCATCCGCAAAATAAATTATCCTAAGAATTGCTCTAAGGCACTTATGTCTGACCGCAGGTCCTGCTGAGGAACTATACACTTCATAAAGAACACCAAATAACGTCTTAATGAAAGACTTAGCCAGTTCTGGATCCTCTTTCATAAGCTGTGCTCGAGCATCATCCTTCTTACACTCTGAATATCCACCTGTTACAATTTAAAAAAAAAAAAGTACAATCCTTAAGTGACAACTTCAGAAACCTAATAAATTATCCAAGCCAATGTGATTATTTGAAACGCTATTAAATAAATTTTTTCATTATGGAACAAATTTATTTAATATGAGCAACTAGAGTCTACAAACTAAGAGAAGCCAGTAAGACAAAATTTATCCACTAAAGAGAAGAAGGCATCACCACACTGACATTTTACTAGTACATATTCTGTGAAGTACTGAAGAAATTTCAAGACTAAACAACTAAGAAATAAGCAGAGCTCAGCCAGGTGTGGTGGCTTACATCTATAATCCAAGATACTTAGGAGCTGAGATTGAGGGAGTGTAGATCAAGACAAGCTTGGGTAAACAAAACAAAACAACAAAAAAAGTGGGACCCCATTTCAAAGAACAAGCTAATCTAAGGGTGTAATTCTAGGTACTTGAGAGGCTGAGATCCAGAGGATCTCAGATTAGCCCAGGCCAAAATAAAAGTTCATCACAAGACCCCATCTAAACAGAAAAGGCCCAACTAAGGCAACTTAAAATAGAAGACTGCAGTTCAGACCAGCCCAGGCAAAAAGCAAGACCCTGTCTGAAAAAAATCAGGACAAAAGGGGTTGGGAGCATGGCTCAAGCAGTAGAGTACCTGCCAGCAAGCACAAGTCCCTGAGTTCAAACCCCAGCACTGCCCACTTCCCTACAAATAAACAGATTTTAGGAAATGGACGGTGAATAATAAAAGCTATGTTAAATGGATAAACAAAGAGATTTGGCTCTTTTGCTCAGAGGGAGTAGGTGTAGAGAAAAGGTAACTGAAGAAAGCTATAAACCAGGGGTTGGCATATGGCATGTAAGCCCAAACTAGTCTAGAACTTGGTTCTTATTGGAACACAGCCATGTACATTTGTTTACATATGCTATATATTGTTTTGAAACTATAATAACCATGGTGAACACAGAGACTGCATGATCTACAAAACCTGAAACATTTACTATCTGGCCCTTTTAAAAAAAAAAAAATTACTGACCACTAAAGCTGAAGACTAGAGATGCAAAAGCAAAATGTTGAGTCCCTGGGGGAAGTGAAAATGTTAGAAACCTAAAGGGGAAAAAAGAGCTGTCATCATCAACTGTTCTTCACTCATTAAGAAGAGATTTTGGCAGGAAGGCAAAAATTTAACATTGTTGGAAAGAACTAATCTGATGGGTGGCTGGATCTAAAGGTAGAGCAGG